AAAGTTCTTAGTTTTGATGAAGTCAAATTTATCAATTTTTACTTTGATCATTCCTTTGGCGTCATATCTAAGATATCTCTGCCTAACCAAAGGTCACAAAGATTTCCTATGTTTTCTTCTATAACTTGTATAATTTTAGCTCTTATATTTTGGTCTATGATCCATTTTGTGTTAATTTTCAACATGAGGCAAGGTGTGGCTCAAAGTTCTTTTTTATTTTTCACATATGGATATCCAATTGTTAAGCACCACTTGCTGAAAAGACTATCCTTTCTCCATTGAATTTCAACTGCACTTCTGTTTAAAATCAATAGATCATATATGTGTGGGTCTATCTCTTTTGCATAAGGGCTTTATTGAGATATAATTCACATACCACAGAATTCATCCATTTAAAGTGTACAACTCAGTGGTTTTAATATATTCACAGAGTTGTGTAGCCATTACTACAATCAACTTTAGAACATTTTCATCCACTCCAAAAAGAAATCCTGTACCCACTAGTAATCACTCCCCCCAAAGACCCACCTCAGCTCTAGACAACCACTAACCTACTTTCTATCTCCATAGATTTGCCTATTCTGGATACTTCATATAAATGGAATCATACAATTGGTCTTCTCTGACTTGCTTTTCTCACGTAGCATAATGTTTTCAAGAGTCATGCATGTTGTAGCATGTGGTAATACTTTATTGCCGAAAAATATTCTATTCTATGGATATCACATTTATCCATTCATCACTTGATGGACATTTGGATTGGTTCCACTTTTTAACTATTATGAATAATGATACCATGATCATTTGTGTACAAATTTTTGTGTGGACACATGTTTTCACTCCTCTTGGATATATGAAATTGCTAGGTCATAGCATAACTCTATATTTAACCTTTTGGGGAATTGCCAGAATGTTTTCCTAGGTGGCTATACCATTTTACATTTCTATCAACAGCAGAGGAGGGTTCCAATTTCTCCACATCCTTGCCAACACTCCTTATTTGTCTTTTTTATTTCAGGCATCCTAGTGGGTGTGAAGTGGTATCTCATCGTGGTTTTCATTTGCATTTCCCTGATGGCTAATGATATGGAGTATGTTTTTATGTGCTAGATGACCATTTGTATATCTTCTTTGGAGAAATATCTATTTAGATTGTGTGACTCTATTTCTCAACTCTCTATTCTGTGCCATTGATCCATATGCTATTCTTTAATCAATATTGTCTTGATTACTGTAGCTTTATGATAAGCTCTGAACTCAAGTAGCGTGAATCTCCCAACTTTGTTCTTCGTTTTCAAAATTATTTTGGCTATTCTAATTACTTTGTCTTTCTATATAAATTCTATAATCAGCTTGTCAGTTGCTACAAAAAAAAAAATTCTGCTAGGATTTTGATTGAAATTGCACTGATTCTATAGATAAGTATGGGGAGAACTGAAATCTTAACAATACTAATAAAGCTTTTATTCCATGAACATAGTGTATTTCTCCATTTATTTAGGTGTTCTTTGATTTCTTTTATTACCATTTTCTAGTTTTTCAACGTATAGATCTAACACATAGTTTGTTAATTTCTACCTAAATATTTCAGGGTTTTTCCGGTTGCTTCTGTATGTTTTTAAATTTCTATTTCCAATTATTCATTGCTAGTATACAGAAACAAGATTGATTTTTGCATATTTACCATGTACAACCTTGCAAAACTCACTTAGTTTACAGTTAGGTTACACCAATGAGTAACAGTGGTATATGATTGAAAGGAGGAAGAAGGAAAGAAAGGATTACATTCTCAGAAGTAGCTATACCACAACTCCTGAGAAATACTAACACCAGCCAGGCCATCTAAGAAGTACTAGCACCAATCATATAGTGTTCCACCACCAGCTCAGAGGTCTGGGTATTTCTTCAGAAGTGAAGAACCAACCAAAGGACTCCTCCCCTGACAGTTCCTTCTAAACTCTAGCTGCTGTGAGCATCCTCAGAAGCCTAACCAACTAGTTGTGCAGCCCTCTTCAGAGATTCTGCACCAGCTCCTCAGGAGACCTCCACTGAGTTCCTAATTCTGGTTAACAATAGTGTACTTCTTACCATCTTACTTCTCCAGCCCTAGAGGTTATAGCTGCTTCCTACTACTTGGGTACTTGATGGGGTTCAGGGCAGGCCGCCCCAAGATGTGCCATTCTGGCATGCGGATTATTTCAAGCTGAAGACAATTAAGGCTCAGATGACTCTGAAAGAAACTTTGACCTCTCCCCCCACCCCCACTAACTGCCTAAAAGAATTTAAGATAGAAGGCCTGTCCCCCGGGACAGGCCATCACCATAGATAACTCTGGGTATGGATAGACTGGGAGGGTCCTTGCTAAGCCCATTCTTAGCAAAGTTCTGTTTACCAAACATTTACATTTGTAAGGGAAATCTCCATTTGTAAAGGCATCTCCCTCTCTGTACCAGGAAGAAGGGGGGATGACCTCATCTCTAGAAACTTATCAATGCGGAAGGCAAGGCCTTAAATTTGCATAATAACCTTACTCTTGTTTACTGTGCTTTTCTGGTAATCTCCAATAGCTGACTCCTCCCACTCACAACATCCTCCTTTGTCTTTAACTGAATATGCTATTTAAGAAGAGAACCTCCGCCATTTTGTCGAGTTACCCAGTTTTTCCGGGTCTCTCGCATGTACACATGCTATAAAGCTTTATTTGATTTTCTCCTGTTCTTCTGTCTCATATCAATTCAATTAGTACCCCAGAAAGGACCCAGAGTGGGTAGAGGATAGTCTTCCTCCCCTTCATACTTCGAGGTCCCCTTTCAGTCTTTCAGCCTTCTAATACTCTATAAACCAATGACCAGCATTAATACCCTTCTGTTTGAAAAGCCTAGCATGGCTTCTGTTTTCCAGACAGGACTGTGACTAAAAATGCTCTTCTTCTGACCAGCCCCCCTTTCGTACTCCCCAATACCTAACCATCCTGTGAAATTCTATTAACTAATGACAAAGATTCTCTCCTTGACCAAACTCCACTCAGGCTCCCCTGATCTCTCTTCTCAAATAGGCCCTGACTTTTAAGCTTCCATGTTCATCTCTGCATTGTACAATTTTAGCAAGAATCCTACTAAGTCAGTTTAGCCAGAATCCCCCATCCTCAATATCTGATCACACTCAATTTCTAACTGGGTTCCTCATCTTCCACCATCCCCAGGTGATATCTGATCATCCTGATCTCCCTTCAGCAAGAATCCTGTTAAGTCAGTTTAGCCAGGATCTCCCCCCTTATCCCTGATGTTTCCTCTTAGCAATTTTCTATCCACTGACCTCCACCCTACTCCTTGGCTATAAATTCCCACTTTCCTTGCTGTATTTGGAGTTGAGCCCAATCTCTCTTTCCTACTGCAAGATCCCATTTCAGTGGTTCCTAAACCCATCAAGATAGTCCCTCCCTTGAATAAAGTCTTCCTTATCATCTTTAACAAGTGTCATGAATAATTTTGCTTTAACACTAACTCAGGGCCATTTAAAATGAAAACTGTTCATCTTAAAATAAAGAGGGCAATAAACACTAAATGAAACCAGTAAAAACATGAGATGAATTTAGATAGGTGGACAATGCTTACATGAATAAATTAGCTTATATAGCGCAGGGAAAAATTGTGAAGGATTTTTGATACAGGCCACAGAGCTTACCAAACATCCTTTCAATGGAATGTTGGAGCTTCTGGGAATTACCTGATACCAGAGGGGTGTGTGCCTTTATTTGTCTTTGCCTAGGCTAATTTACAACTCTCAACAGATAGAAGATAATGTATAGAAAACTGATAACAATCACAAGTTTTTCTGCCCATAGCTATGCAAATGAATAGTCAGGAAGAGAATATAAATCTCGAAATCAAATCTTCATTTTGATTGGTTCTAATATTCTACTGGTTCCCCATTAATTAATGAACTAAATAAATTCTCTGAGATGTGTTCATTTTATATTTGTATGTGTAAGATAAGTAAAATTATATTTTCTTTGCTTAATAAAGGGGAGGCAGCTAGCCCTCCCTTCCTCTTAGGGTATCTCCTTAAAAACATAAGAGGTTCAACACTTTGGTCAGGAATGTAATAAACCTAGTCTCCAGATTTTACAATGAGAAATCATGAGCCCTCCAACTCTTGGAACTGTAAATACATATCTCCTAAATTAACTCAGCATATGTAAAGGAGATTATCATAAGGAATATTCATTTGTCTCTTAAGATAAAAAAAAGTTTTAGTTGTTCTTTCTTCTACTTTACTATGTTCTTTCACACACATAAAATCTGTGACATTCTGCCCAGACTTCGTAGTTCCTCCTGGACTACGTACATGCATGCAATCTGATATGCATATTCAATAATAAATCTTCATTTCTATATATCTATTCTGGTATGGCAGAGTCTTTTTGTTGGCAAGATTTTTAAATTTTACCAACATATGATAGTCAGGATTACCTTTAAAAAAAACTTACTTATAATAAATATAAACAGAGTACTTATAATATAAACAGAGTACCTTTTTTTGTAGTTCCAGATAAAATGCCCCAAAATGTAAAGTAATAATTTTAGTCAGAAAGAATAAAACAGGCTGAGTTACACTTTATAATCAGTGGTGAAATAAGTAATTCTAAATTCTACAACCCCTGTTAGTGGTAATAGACATAGCAGAGAAAGGAAATGCAGTCCTTTAACAACAGATATTTACATGTACTGGCAATGTATCATAAAACTGACTACTCTGAGCAATGTTATGTCTGAGTGAAATAATAAGGCAAATACATCTTCCAAAAGTAAACTGAATACGACCACCCTGGGTGGAAGACCTAGCCAAACATAAAGAGTATAAATTATATTTTAACTTTTACGTTTTTAAAGTATATTAAAATATTAATATTAAAATATATAAACACATAGATTTTAATTAATAAAGCAAATTAACATTAACTATGTAAATATAAAATTTTCAATAAGAAAAACTTTTACCATCTTCCTAGCAATTCTCCCCAAGAATATAGGATCTTCTCAGGACAATCCTTAGACACATCACCTGTTCCACTTGAGAGTTCATTATCACTCTCTGCAGAAGAAACACAAAAACCAAAACAATAAACATTATATATTATATATTTACATATTATGAAACAAGAAATATGACTGTGTCTAATAAAAAAATCAAACAATACTTCTTTCTATATTATTACACCTATTGCCAAAAAAACAGTAAAAACTTCATTACTATAATTTATCTTTAGTGTCTATATAAATATTTTCAAAGCATAAACTTTTTATGAAAATTCTTATCCACAGCTTACATAGTATAAAATTGAAAATACCTATAAATAAATAGCTTTATCCAAAGAGAGTAAAATTTAAAAGCTAATGGTAATACAATTAGAAATTCCTATATGGTGCTCTACTCACCAGATTAATATTCTCAAATATGAATATTTTATTAGTGAGACCAAGAAAACCTAAAATCAAGAGCTAGACATATATATCAATATATAACACTGAGAAACATATATATTATGATACAAACACATAAACAACCAGAAACCTAAAAAGAAAAAAAAATTATGGTTTTAAAGATGCATTCATAAGTACAATATATTTTTGACTAAAGGAAAGAAGAAACCGTTTGGCATTTTAAAATGGCACCTTTAGGCGCTGGCCCAGTGGCACAGTGGTTAAGTTCGCACACTCTGCTTCAGGCGGCTCAGGGTTCGCAGGCTCGGATCCTGCGCACGGACCTATGCACCGCTTATCAAGCCATGCTGTGGCAGGCGTCCCTACATATACAGTAGAGGAAGATGGGCAAAGATGTTAGCCCAGGGCCAGTCTTCCTCAGCAAAAAGAGGAGGATTTGCAATGGATGTTAGCTCACAGCTAATCTCCCTCACCAAAAAAAAAAAAAAAAGGCAACTTTATAAAACATCCCAAAATGTAAACTAATAGTTTTAGAAAGAATAAGATGGGTTGGTTGGGTTGCAGTTTACAAGCAGTGGTAAAAATGAGTAATTCTAAGCTCTATAAATCTTTTAAGTGGTAATAGAGTTGGTAAAGAAAAAAAACGGAATGGGCCCAATTTACCTATATTATAACAAAACCGTTGACACAGTACTACATAACAAAAGGCTAGAGAAGTGTTGTATGAATGATAAAATAAACTAGATAAAAATCTGCCTTGCTGATAGCAAGTACCAAGGTTTTACGTTGTTACAGTACAAGAGGATTGGCATTAAGTGAATCCTACAGGGATCTGTGTGAACAGTATTACTTAGCAGGCCACAAATCCAATGATCCAAGTATAAACTGATTCATATCAGTGGATATATTCAACACCAAAAAACAATGTGACAAATAAACGTTTATCTGACCAGGTTAAAAGATTTGGTCATACCACACAAAAAGATTTTATCACATATTTAATAAAATATAACCAAAACATATGTATACACACAGACAAATGCTTCAACATCTTTACAACAATACCGGCAAGAATTATGAGGGACATTTTATTTAAAAAGTGAACATTATTCTGGATATGGGGATGAAGGTTAAGAGGGTAGACACCAACATCACTGCTCTAGAAATACCTCAATACGCAACTCCGTGAACTGTGCAACAAGGTCATCATGAAAACAGCAGAAATGAGAGATTTTTAAAAAGCTAAAGCATACGAAGTATTACAAGTATTGGAGGAATAATGTAAACAGAAACAACTGAAGCCTTCATATTAAAATATCCTAAAGAACTATCGCATGTAAACTACTATCCCTTATAATCCTTATAATTTTTCATCTAAACTGAGGTACTTTTGAGAATGAAAAGGGACACTATTAAAAGTTACAATGGAAAACAGGTTAAACTTAGACTATCTCAGGCAAACAGGGACTGCTGGTCACCCTTCTTATAAATTGGTACCAAATATATAAAAGTACTTATAAATTGGTATTCAATTAAGCAGGGTCCAAGATGGTCCCATCTTATGCTCTATTTTGCTCCACAGTAAATAATAATATGCCAGGGTTCCAAAGTATTTGATGAAGTTGTGCATTGCTAAATTGGAGACCAAAATCTAAGAACACAATGAAAAGGGAAAAGAAAACAAACATTGAGGGACATCATTAATCTTGATTATAAGAAAAATCAGAAAGCACTACTGATACAGAGAATCTTTCAGATTCTTATTATTCCTCTTGGGAATAATAAGATTATTATTAAGATTAAGATTTAAAATTATTATTAAAGATTAATAAATCTGACTACCTATAAATTAAAAACTTCTATGAAGTAAAGTATAGATATATTTACAAAAAAAACAAGCAAAAAAAAAAATTCCAACATATGACAAATGGCTATTTTCACTAATATACCAAGGTCTTAGTAATCAATAAAATAAAGAACAATCCAACAGAAAATTGGGCCAAGGACATGAATATAGTATAGGTCACAATATATGAAATACAACTAGCCAATAAAGATATTAAAGAAAGCCCTATATCATCAATAGTTTCTCAATGCAAATTAAAAGAACAAAACATATTCACCAATTAGATTAGCAGAGATTATAAAAAATAATAATACCTCATATTGATAAAAGTATGGAGAAACAAGCAAGAAAGCTGATGTTTAAAAAAGAGCAATTTTTTTTAATTATTAAGAATCTTAATTAATACACCATTTGATCCAGCATCTCTACTTCTAGAAATTTATTCTCCAGAAATAGATATGCCAAAGAGATATATGTAAAAGGATTTTCATTGTGTCACTGCTAGTAATAAGAAATTGAAAACTATCAAAAATCCATCAATAGAAGTTTTATTAACCAAATTACGATATATCCACTCAAAAGAATACTACCCAATACATAGTTTAGAAGAATTGGGTAACTCTTTATACACTAATATGAAAACCATCCAAAATATTTTATGATGAAAAGCAAGAAATAAAAGAGTAATTTTTAAGTATGGTTTTATTTTAGTAAATAATATTACTTATATGATTACAAAGACCTTTAAAAATAGCTGTAAGAATATACACCAAACTATTAGCAGCATCTGACAGTATCTTACCACATAGTAGGCATTCAATAAATATTTAGGGAACATATCTTTCGCTTTCAAGTCTTATATTTCTGTAATATTCTCATCTTTTACAATAAGTATGCATAACTATAATAAGCATAGGGAAAGGATTTTTATCTTTTAAATAATCCCTGTTGCTATATGAAACAAACCTAATTTTATTATTATAAACCCCTACTAACATGCCATAAAATCATTACTGATAACAACAATGTATTGTCTTCCTGATGATCTCCCAACTTACTTTCCACCACAAAAAGGAAATCAGAGCTGTAAACATAGATCAGCAAAGGAGAACCACAGGAGAAGGGAAGAAAATGGGCACACTGAAGTAAAACCAGATCCCTGATGAACAATTAAGGCAGAAACAATGGCAAGTCAGGGGCCAAATATTTGGAAGAAAAACAGGACTTAGCCAAGGAAGATAGGAATCCCGGGCCTTTATAGAACATCTGCCTTTTTAAATCTATATTTTAGGCACTATTCTAAGTTTTACAGGCATGAACTCATTTTATCCTCTAAACAACCTAATGAGGTAGTCACTACTAGTTTGCCCACTTTAAAGTTGAGAAAATTGAGGCACAGAGAGGTTAAGCAACTTGCCCAAGGTTACTCTGCTAATAAGTAATGGAAAGATAGGATTCAATCTCACTTTGAATCCAGAGTCAAATACTACCTCTCCTTATAGTTTTTCCTACTGTGTTTTTCATAGGAGGCTATGCTTGGCATTTAGCGGATACCAGTCTGTGCCAAGTGCCAACATCTAGTAAATGCTGAGAGCCAGAGCACAGAATGGAAAAGCTAGGCACATTTAAAGCAACATGTCCAAGAAACACTAAATTGAGAGCAACAGATTTAATGGAGAGGCTTCAGGGTGTAATTCCCCTTGATGCTCAGGAAAAGCAAAAATGAAATTGATATCCCAGGGACCTCAAGAGTGTGAACCAGGTCTGTTTTCCTTGCTGCAGAAACCACTGACCCATGAGTGTTTTAAATACTTATTGGCCATCTTGCTAGACAGGAAGGGGGCTGAAGGAAAGCAGATTCAAGTTCCTACTGTATTAGATAAGACAGAGTTTCTAGGTAGGATGAAAGAAATAAACTGAGAAATAAGAATGAAAAAGACACCGAACATCAAAGTGCAGTAAAAAACACAGTGAGGAGGCTGGCAAGTAGAACGTGACGAAGAAGAGAAGGAACAATGGAACCATGCAGATATGTAAAAGGTACCTCTGAGGGTTTTGAAAAAGCAACTGTATCCTATTCTACACGGGAAAAAAAAACGACAAACGATATAAGGCAAGGGATTCCTATGCCCCTTGGCTAACTCCTACTTTTCCATCAAACTTCAGGTTAGGGGTTACCCCCTTCTGGCTGGGCTAAGTGCTCCCCCTCTGGGCATATTCTGTCATAGCACCTATCACTCCATATTACAATCATTTGTTTTCCTCTATATTTTCTCCCATCAGACTTTCAGTTTCTTAGCAGTGGGGACTAACTTTTATTTCTATATTCCCAGTGCCTAGATTAGTACTTGGCCTTAAGAGTGTTAAAAGAATAATTGGAGGGGAGGGGAGGACAGAAAGTCTATTACAAATGGAAAAAATGTATGCCTTGAAAATTAGTAACCTCTAGTATATGGGTCTATGTGCAGACACAGGTAAATGGGAACCAGGTTCATTCAGTCATTCATAATAGATCCTGGAGCCAAACTGCCTGGATTTGAAACCCAGTTCCGCCAATTACTAGCTGTGATCTTGGCAAAGCTACTTAACCTCTCTCTGCTTCAGCTCCCTATTTCTAAAATGGGAATAATAATAGCATCTATCTTAGAAAATAGTTGTAGGAATTAAGCAAGCTACTACATGCAAAACACATTTTGCAGTGCCTGGCAAAAGGCAAGAGCTATATAAATATTAGCTAATAAAAGCTCATTCAACAAATGTGAATGCCTATGATGTAGACTACTGGGGTAGAAGCCAGAGTGCAA